CCCTCTCTTCTTCCTGGAGGGAGCTGCGTGCCCCCGCTGAGGACAACTGCAGAGAGGGAGAAAGGGTGTCTCCCACAGGAAGATCCCAAGTCATTTGGAGCAGTACAGGTCACAAACAAGACTTGAACCGCCACCTGGAAAGCAGCGGGGATCCAGCAGGGATCCCAGCGCACTGGTGCCAGTCTCGTGAGGAGACACACCACTCGCTTCTTCCTGGAGGGAGCTGCGTGCCCCCGCTGAGGACAACTGCAGAGAGGGAGAAAGGGTGTCTCCCACAGGAAGATCCCAAGTCATTTGGAGCAGTACAGGTCACAAACAAGACTTGAACCGCCACCTGGAAAGCAGCGGGGATCCAGCAGGGATCCCAGCGCACTGGTGCCAGTCTCGTGAGGAGACACACCACTCGCTATGCAAGCCGCCACATTCGGCGCTGGCCCCAGAAGATTGAGGGCCATCAAGAGGATTCCTGGGAGCACAGCTAAGCCCACTGGATGTTTCGTCAAGCGTCATCTTATGTTTGTTCATCCCCTGAAGTTAACAGGCGGAGATAATCCCCGTGACATCTTCCTGCTTTCCCCCACCCTACCAGCTCATGAAGGACACACTGGCTGAGCACTGTTCTTTCCCACCCGTTTGGCAGCCCTACCGATAACCCATAAGAATAGAGGGGACTGCGGAGAGAGTAGGTCACAAACAATGTGCAGAAGAGTTCCATGCTTTTGAAGTGCAAACAATAATATTCACCCTGTATCTAGCCCTTTTAACGCCTACATCTCAAAGATCTTCCCAAGTCAGGTAAAAGCATCCTTCAGTAGCACAGTGATGGGGGAAGGGCGTTTATGGTTTGCCCATTCTGCTGCAGAGAATACAGAGTTTAGGTCAGATTAGATGACCCACTTCTTTGTTAGTGACACCACTGGCATCATCAGCGCCATTTTATAGATGAGAAAAATGTGTCACAGAAGGGTGAAGGGACCTGCCCGTGGTCACACAGTGTCACTGGCAAGCTGGGAACAGATTAAAATTAATCTTTTGACCAGATCAACTCACCAACCACAGAGACACTTCACAGAGGCTCTTGCTTTTCATTGAAATCCAAGTGGGCATATTCCCACTCCTTTGCTATTTCCCACTGCACTGCTAATGTGGGGGTGAGAGTGTCAAAAGCGCCTACATGACTTAGGAGTCCTGTCGACTTTCGATGGGACTTGTGCTCCTAAATCACTTGGACTCCTTTGAAAATCCAGCCTCTCTGCTTGGTGTCTTGGACTAGAACTGAGCAATGGGGGAGGGGAAGCAGAGTCCTAATTATGAGCAAGAAACAGAAAAAGCCATTATAGGCCATAGTCTTTTTTTTTTTTCCATCTCCCCCCAGATCCAAGACATGATCATATTATCTCAGCAACCAGGGCAGCAGAACAGAGTTCACCACAGGGATTGTATAACTGTTCTTGAAGGAGGAAAGCATTTATTCCTTTCCATGTTTTACGAAGTGAGAGCTGATATGATTTGCTGAAGTGGTGCAAATATACACCCCGTGTGGGTTTAGCCCTCATTGTTTTTTCAATTACTTTCCTGAAAACTGCACAGCGAGGCAGTTCCCCGGCGCTGGCTTTTGAAGAGCCTGACATGGAAAGCCATAATCGTCTTTCTGTAACATTCCCAAATGTTGACATGTTTGGTGCCTGTTTTGTCAAGTGAACCTTGTAATCTCCTACAGGGTTGTCGAGGGTGCACTAAATTAGCTAGTTATTCTTGCACTTCTACTTAGTGCCTTCTGCAGAGCTTAATAAAAAGCCCTTCAGGAAAAATATAAAAATGCACAGAAAAGTCTTTCTTCCATTCATTGCAC